GGCCTGCTCGCAGCTGCGGGTCCCCGCCTCGGCCACGCGCCGGCGGCGCTCCTGGCCCCCAGGCTCGGGAATGACCCGCAGGCTGCTGTCCGCGGAGGGTCCCGCGTGTCCCCCGGAGGAGGCACAGACTCACCTCCTCACCTGTCCCAGCAGGCGCGCTAGACCTCGCAGCCCTGTGCCGGGGCAGAATGGGCGGGCTAGAAAGCAAGGGCCCAGGGCCGGTGGTCCCCCCAACCCTCAGGAAGCAGCCGGAGACCCCAGCCCCAGGGCCAAACCTGGGAGGGGGGTGGAGTGTCCTTTCCCCCTGTCTTTTCAACAGGATCCATCGGGACCTCACCGCCAGGAGGGGGAGTACTGTGATCATCATGCCCGCTCTGCGGTTGAGCAAACGGAGGCCCTGAGATAGAAGTTATCTGCCCTAAATCCCAGAGCCTCTCTGACAGAGGCTGCCCTGGGATGCCAGTGGGTAGGGGCCTGCAGAGGCTTCCAAGAGCCCCTGGGCCCACAGTGTTCTTCGTCCCCCGCCCCTGTTAGATGCCACCTCCCTCTGGGAGCCTTGACCTCATCCCCCTCTCCCTTTTTCTCCTCTAGACTCCCACAGACAAGACCCTCTCTTGGGCATCTTGAACCTTCTTGCTGGGAGGTGGCATATGGCAAAGACTTGAACTGCTAGTTTCTGAGCCCTGTGCCCTGGGAGGCCCTGAGCTCCTCCGTCCAGTCCCTGGCCACCCTGTGCTGCAGTGAGGTCAGGGAGCAAAGACACAGGGAGGCAGCTGTTTCAGGGGAGATGCCCAGCGGCTCCCACCTTGGCACTGCCTCTGGGTCCGGCATGCCACTCAACATGCGGGGTGCCCGTGGGCTCCAAGCCCCTGGCACAAACTAACTCACGGGACGTCACACCATCAGAGCCCCAGGGGAGGTGTGCCTCACCTCGGTCACCCAGAGCAGCAGGACCTCCCTAGTGCCGGAGCCAGTCACGACCGATTCTCCAGCGCTGACAAGCCTTCCCAGCTCTGCTCAGTGACACCCTGTGGTGTTGGGAGCGTTTGCACCGTGGAAACAGGCAGACGCCACAGATCAGGACTTCTCCCGTCAGAGAGTGGTTCCACGGCGTGCTGGCGCTGGGCTGGGCAGCTGGTACCTGCCTTCTGAATATACCCCCGGTCGTCACACCTACCTTGTGTCCAGCCCAGAGCCCAGACAAAGAAGGGACAACATCCAACACCAGCTCCACTGGCCTGAGACCCTGTGAGGCAGGGATCTGAGCACGACCTCCCAGGGTGGGGGCCGGCCAGGCTGAGGTGGGGCTGCTGAGGATCTTTCTGTCTGGAGCCTAGAGACCCCTAACCTTGCTCTGCCATTTGCATGACCTTGGGTGAGTCCTGCTGTAGCAAGTCTCAGTATCCCCCGCAGAGCTGGCCTGGCCACCCTAGTTTGTCTACCTCAAAAGACTGCCAGTTCCTCCAAGACTCCATCAGTCCTGGAGGGCACCCAGAGTCCCAAGCCTGTTCGTGCTGGGCACACCCAGGCCTGTCCAAGGGAAAACTGAGGAGAGGTAGAGCTAAGCCTGCTGTGGACAGACTCGAGGCAGTCTGGCCTCCTCCCTGTTTCCTGGGCCACAGTGGCAGCGAGCGAACATCGTGCCCGTATGGTGATGGAGGAGATGGCTGGACATTCACAGCATCACCTGGAGGCTCTGTCCACCCCCAGCCGACAGATATGCACAGCATGGCAGGAGTACCCCCACATCGCCGTGGGGGAGTGGGGAGAACCTGTCCCTGACTGAGGACTACATGCTCTCTGAGCCCTTAGGGGTGGCTCCAGGCACCCGTGCTTACATGCCTCCAGTGACAGGGAGCTCACTCCCTATGCTGACTCATGACCACTGGAGTCCATGGCTGAGAAGCTGGTAGACAGGTCACAGTCCTCTTTTGCAAGGACCCTCGGGCTGGGCTCAGGAGCAGGTCCTAGGATCCAGGAAGGACCAGACCTTGGGACCAGGGCTTTGCCAGGATCATGGTTGTTAGATTACTTGGCACCTCTGAGCCTCCATGCCCGGCTCTGATGGGGAAAACAAGCACCCCTGTCTGCTCTGCTAGGTGTCCTGAGGGTCCCACAAGCCAGGGCTGCAGGACACGCCCCGGCGGGTGCTGGCGGTGTCTGTCCCCTGCCTGGACCCCCTGCCTCCACGGCTGTCGGGCCAAGGGGTGTGATTATCTCCGTGCCTCCGAGGACTAGGTTGAGGCCCAGTACAGAGACTTTTCGACTCCAGTAGTTTGCTCAAGGCCACAGAGCTGCAGCCAGTGCCCCTCCCCTCCACAGCTGCCAACGTGGCTCCCCAAGACTCCAGTGCCAGGGAGCCCTAAGTACCCCCCAGGTGCAGGCTGTCCCAGTGCCACAGCCTGGCCAGGCCGGTGGGGACCTGAGGCTCACTTCCAGGGCCAGGACCCAAGCAGGTCACATGGCTGTGGCATCGCACTGCTCTTCGGGAGATGGACATAACGGCGGTGGCCAAGGACTTCTGCGAGGGAGGGCAGGGTCTAGCCTTGCCCCCAGAGAGCCCGTTGCCAGGTGCTTTTGGGGTGGGTCTGCCTCTGAGTGGACTCCAGCAGGATGGAACTGTAGCTGGTCTTGTGGTCAGACACAGTGTAGCCAGGCCACGTCCCACTGTCCCCCCACCCAGGCCACAGCACAGGGAGGTGGCCCCTCAGCACCAGGGGCTCCTCCAAACACCACAGACTCACTCAGCAACTATGTGGGGCCCGCCACAGGTGGAGGTGAGACCTCAGGGCCGGAGTGGGTCCTCTGGAGCTCAGGTCCTATGGGGGCAGGGCAGATCTCCCAGGACCTGAAGGTAGGGTGTTGGGGGCAGGCAGGTGGGGTGGGAGTCATGCGGACCTCTGAAGCTGGGGCTCCTGGTCCCTGTGAAGTGCGTGTGGGCTGGGAGGGCAGAGGGTGGGGCCCTGCTGCCCAGCCCCTCAGGAAAGCCTCCCCACTCGATGGGGGATGTGAAGTTCTGTAACATAATCTTCATTTTTCTTCTTTTAATTAATACGATTCTATAACATTTCCTTTACTCCCTAATTTTAAAACGTGGTTTAAAAAAAAAATAATAGTATCGTTGGAGGACACCCGGGGACTCCGTCAGTTGAGCCTGCAGCTCTTGGTTTTGGCTCAGGTCATGATCTCAGGGTCCTGGGATTGAGCCTCGCGTCAGCCTCCGTGCTCAGCATGGAGTCTGCTCAAGATTCTCTCTCCCTCTCCCCTCCCCCTGCTTCATGTGTGCAATCAATCCATCATAGTTGCATTGGGATAGAATTCACATTCCTGAAAACTCACTCTTCTAAAGTACGTAACTCCGTGGTCTTCAGTATATTCGGATGTTGCATCCACCACCACCATCTCATTCCAGAACATCTTCACCCCCCAGAACAAGATGTCACTCCCCACCCCTGTCTCTCAGCCCCGGGCAGCCAGGAATCTGCTGTCTGTGGATTTGCCTGTTCGGGACTTCTCACGTCCCCAGAGTCATGCAGCGCCAGGGCCTCTGTGACCAGCTGCTCTCCCTCAGCACGTCTCACTCCACGCGGGTCAAAGGTGCGTCGTGCTCCGCTCCAAATAATATTCTGTTGTACGGTGACAGACAATGATCTTCTTAAGAGCCCGTAGTCAGGGGCGCCTGGCTGGCTCAGTC